ACACAAGAACGTTCATTTAGTGCGGGGGACAAAAAAGGGAGACAGCTCAGTGTAAGAGTCTGTCACACATCATTTTACGCAAACCTGCCTAGTTCAGACTTTAAAAATTGGTAATGAAATGGCCAACAATGAGTAATTTGACTTTAAAATTAGTAATAGTATAATTTTCCTTCTACGAAATAGGGGCCTACTAAAAAAAAATAAAAGAATAAAAATTTGACCGTTTAACGAGAGATCAATTAGGTCTAAGCTTTGTCGAAAGACAGAATGACGTTCCTTGAGGGGAAAACGGAAGGAATCTCGAATTCAAAGTGTGATAACGAGGTGCAGTTTGAAAAAAATCTACTGCCATTGTATTCTAAATATAGAATCAAGAGTACTGTAGAAACTTCGCGCCCGATACCACAAGTTGTGTAAAGAACAAACGATGCTGAAAAGTAATTGGTCTTCTGGAAACCCATGTTTAACGAATACATATGATTGTCTGAGAATTACTTCGGTGCAATCTAGTCATAGAATTAATTATTTATAAAACTGACTTGATTTTCGTAATTTTCATAGTACATTCGTATTTTCGCATCTGGGTCAGATTTCTGGCATACTTTCGTAATATTACGAAAAATTTGTAAATATAGGCAGGTCTGCTTTATGAAATAGCATATGGCAAAGTCTTACACAAGAAGTTAAGATGTTGATAAACAGGTGTCAGTGACAGGGGAAATACATCGCTAGTACGACATGACATTAAAAGGGAATATTTATTCCCTACAAAAAAAGGGGCTGTTAAAAGAAGGCATTTTACTTTCTGAAAAACTGAAATGCAGACAAACTGGAAACTTTGACTCCAAAGTAGGAAGAGTACCACATCATAGGGCGAAGCTAGGGAACAGCTGAAAAAAAATCTTTGAGCAACAGTAAGACAGACAGAAGGAAAAAAAAAAGAAGAAAATAAGAAAACAAGTAGTGCCCTCCAATCACCCACAATCATTAAATTGGAAAAAAAAATAAGACAAAAACAGCTCAATATTTAATAGAAAAGACACCAACACTCCCCCCCC